CCCTCCCCCGCTCCTTCCCTGTCTCCCCTCCCCTCCCCCGCTCCTTCTCTCCTTCCCTCCCCCTCCCCTCCCCCGCTCCTTCCCTCTCCCCTACTCCCCTTCCTCCCTCATTCCCCACTCCCTCCCTCCCTGCCACCATGCGGAGCTGCTGCCACCTGACTTCTCTGTCCCCCCTTCTCCAGGCCTTGCTCCAGGTCCTCATCATCCTCACAGGGAATTACAACTTCTTCAACCTGCTCACCTTGGTGCTCACCACATCGCTGCTGGACGATCAGCACGTGGCCTGGTGGCTGGGCGCAGGCCGAACGAAGCAGCCTCCTGCTTGTAAGTGCCAGCCCCGCCCGTGGCCCTGGCTGGGGTTGACGTTGGCTCAGCAGACCCCAGGCCCCACAGCCCTGCTCCTGTGCTTGTCTTTGCAGCCTGGGCCCGGCAGCTGCTGACCGTCCTGTCCCTGCTGCTGGAGGTGGCTGTTTATGGGCTCCTGGCCTACGGTACAGCTCACTACTTTGATCTGGAGCTGGACCCAGAATGGAGCAGCATTCAGGCCAAGACAGGTAGCACGGAGAATCAAGCTTCCAGATTGGGGGGAGGGGAAGAGTGGGCCAGGTGCACAGGATGGGGGAGGAGATGGCAGGGTTTGGTCAGGCCTCTCAAGCCAGCCTTTCTTTCACCGGCCACTCACCTTTCTGATGCCTTCCTCCTCCTCTTCCGCAGCCTTCACCTTCCACGAGTTTTCCCAGTGGCTGAAGGTGGTCACGATGCCCTCTGTGTGGCTGGGCGTGGCCTCCCTGCTCTCGGTGCTGCTGACTGCCCTCTACAGGTACTAAGCCGGCCGGGCTGGGCTGGGCTGGGAGCTGGGCCCTGGGGGTCCTGAGCCATGCCAGGGCCAGGGCTGCTCCTCCAGCCCCCCTCATTTTAGTAACCATTGAGCAAAGCCCTAATCCAGCACACAGGGCTCCGTGCTGGGCCTTCAGAGAGCTCATCCTTTACTAATGCCTAAGTCCAGCCGGCCTGAGAACGGGTGAGATGAGGCAGGATGGGCCGCAGACACACAGGAGAAGCATGTCAGGATGTGCCCCCTTATTCCCCAGGTGTGCCCGGATCCGCAAATGGCTGGGAAAGCTCAAGGCCACCGTCCAGCTGTCCGTCATAGGGGCAGCCACTGTGGCCATGTTCACAATCAGCCTGGTGAGTGGGGGGAGGTGGGGCAGTGGGGTGAGGCCTCTGTGCCAGCCTGGCACTGCTGGGCTTGGGGGCCACCCACAGTGTCATCTGCCTCAGGTACCCTACACCTATCTGGAGCCGGGCACCAACAAGCAGCTGTGGCCTGGGGCCTATCGCCTCTTTGGCGCCGTGGAGCACCTGCAGCTGGCTAACTCCTACGGCCTCTTCCGCCGCATGACAGGCCTGGGTGGGCGGCCCGAGGTGGTCCTGGAGGGCAGCTATGATGGGCAGAGCTGGACGGTGAGGGGGGCCTCAGCCAGGGACGGGGTGGGTGCTGGTGTGAGGGCAGAAGAGCAGCAAAGGTCAGGGCTGGCAAGAGATGCCACAGAGTCACTGTAGACAGGAGGCTTGCAGGGCAAGGTCCTGCCCCGGAGTCAGGAGGCGGGGACCAGAGAGCACACGAGAAGTCAGGGCTTGGAGCCTATTTGTGAAAGGGACACCACCAGCCTTCCAGTTGTTCCCCTCCCTGGCTCCCACCACACACCCCTGGGATGGACCCCTCTGGCATCTGCCCTCCTGACGCCCTTGGCTTGGCATGCTGCCGCCTCTCTGAAGCCCTGATTCCCTCCTCCTCCCCAGCACCGGAAGGTGCCTGCCTAATTCTTAGGCCTTCACTGACCTGCCTTCCTTGGTTCACACTTCTTCCTCATGACCCCCCCACCTGTCCTCCCAGCATGAGACGAGCTGTCCCATGGCCTGCTAGCACAGGACCCTGCAGGAGGGAAGTCCTTAGTGGAGGGGGGGGCAGCTGTCATGCCAGTTGGGACCCTCACCTCCTGCCCTTTCTGGGTCCCCAAGGAAATCGAGTTCATGTATAAGCCGGGGAACGTCAGCGTGGCTCCCCCCATCGTGATTCCCCACCAGCCCCGCCTAGACTGGCAGATGTGGTTTGCTGCCCTGGGCCACCACACCCACAGCCCCTGGTTTTCCAGTCTCGTCTACCGCCTGCTTCAAGGGAAAGCATCCGGTGAGGAGGAGGAGGCAGGGGTCCTATTGCTAGAAGAAAGGGGCCTGGGCTCCCGGCTCCAGAGGAAAGCAGGGAGGGGGTTCCTTGTGCTGGAGGAGATGGGCAGGGGAGGAGTCCTGGGCAGGCCCTGTGCTCTTCACGGTCATCGCTTTGCTACAGAGTGAGGAAGGAGCTGAGTCTGAGGAGCAGAGGTCTTGGCGTTAGGGGCAGCATCCTCAGTAGTTTCCCTCCCCTCTGTCAGTGATCCACCTCCTGCAAGTGGAGATGTCCAGGTACCCATTCTGGAAGCAGCCACCCACATATATCCGGGCACAGCTGTACAAGTACTGGTTCTCACGGCCTGGAGAGCAAGGGTGAGGCCCTGGTGGGGGGCCGGGGGCAGGACCAGGGGGCAGGGGTGGGGCCCTGGTGGGGGGCCGGGGGCAGGACCAGGGGGCAGGGGTGAGGCCCTGGTGGGGGGCCGGGGGCAGGACCAGGGGGTGGGGGTGGGCCCCTGGGAGCATATATGAGGACTTAGCCTGAGGAGGGGACATCGAGAGTGGCAGAGGCAGCTGCAAGCTGGGAAGGGGACAGAGCATGAAGTGCCCCCCCCAGCCCCCTGCTGACCTCCATTTCTCTTTCTGTCTTTTAGCCAATGGTGGCGGCGAAAGTGGTCTGAGGAGTTCTTTCCCCCAGTGTCTTTGGGGGACCCGAAGCTGGACTCGTTGCTTACACGATTTGGCCTTCAGGTAGGGAGGGACCCAGTGGCCCGTAGCCAGGCTAGGAGTGGGACAGGATGTCTGGGAAGGCACACCTCTGTGCAAAAGG